GCGCGGCGGGAGCGGCGGCGCCGCCTCCCACCGGCGGGCCCGGCCCCGCGGCCGCCGCTCACCCCCGCCCCCCGCAGGACTTCTCCCCCGGCTCCCGGCGGCACCGCACCGTGGAGGACTTCAATAAGTTCTGCACCTTCGTCTTGGCCTACGCCGGCTACATCCCGTACCCGCAGGAGGTGAGTTCCACCGGGGGGCACGGGGGGGGGCAGCGGGCTGGGGGTACCGGGGGCACCGGGCCGGTCTGTCAGACCGGCCGCTCCAGCGGTCACGGCCCCGCGGCGGGCCTGAACAAAAGGGGAACCGCGGCGGCTGGAGGCTCTGGGGACGGGGCGGGTGGTGCCCGGCGTGGGCGGGGTGAAAAACGTCGGATCCGGCATCGCTCCTGCTGCTCCCCGGGCCCCGGAGCTGCGGCCGGAGAAACCCGGGGTGGCGGGTAGGGAAAGCGGGAGCGGCAGCGCCTCGAGGGACAGGGCTCAGCGGCTCGGGGTAGGGCATGGCACTCTGGGGGACAAGGCACAGTGCTTTGGGGACAGGGATCAGCTCCCCGGGGGACAGGCCACAGTGGCTTGGGGAACAAGGCACAGTACCTCTGGGACAGGGCTCAGCACCCTTGGTACTGTCTCTGACAGGGGACAGTACCCGGAGGAAAGGACTCAGCCCTTGGGGACAGGGCACAGAGCTTCAGGGGACAGTGCCTCTGGGGACAGGGGACACTACTTTAGAGGACAGAGCACAGCATCTCGGGGATGAGTCAGAGTGCTCTGGGGGACAGGGGACACCACTCTAGGTGACAGGGCACAGCATCTCAGGGATGGGTCAGAATGCCCTGGGGGACAAGGCACAGTGCTTCGGGGACAGGGCTCAGCTCCTCTGGGGGACAGGCCACAGTGGCTTGGGGAACAAGGCACAGTACCTCTGGGACAGGGCTCAGCACCCCTGGTACTGTCCCTGTGACAGGGGACAGTACTCAGAGGGAAGGGCTCAGCCATCAGGGACAGGTAACAGTGCCTGTGGGGACAGGGGACACCACTCTAGGGGACAGGGCACAGCATCTCAGGGATGGGTCAGGGTGCCCTGGGGGACAGGGGACACCACCTTGCGCTACTTGTGAGTCTGCTCCATGTCAAACTGTTGCCTGCTTCCTGAACGTGTTCCAGGAGACGCCGCTGAGGAACAGCCCCAGCCCTCCCAACAGTACTGGAGGCACGATTGACAGCGATAGCTGGGATCCCCGCTTCAATGACACCCCCTCCTCTGTCTCCCTGCCCACCAAGAACAGAAAGAACTTTAGTCAGCTTAAGCGAGCAAAACCGTATGGTTCCCTGTTCCAGCGGGCAAAGGCCAGCAACTTCCTGCCAGAGAGAAAGCAAATCGATAAGATCAGGAAGAAGAAAAAGCTGAAAAGGAGGGAAACAGAGGTGTCTGCAGAGGAGGACTATGAGGAGAAGCTGCTGGACCTGGAGGCAGAGGACTCTTACGCAGAGACGCCGATGAGCCCCTCGTCAGAGGGCGACCCTCAGTCTGTGACTGAGCACTGCTCGGTGTGGGACTCTGACACCCCGTCCAGCGTCTCCTACCCTGCTGTGACGGCCGAGCAGACGGTGGAGATCCAGAGCGTGGGCAAACGAACGGTCATCCGGCAGGGCAAGCAGGTGGTCTTTCGGGATGAGGATGGCACTGGTGATGACGAGGACATCATGGTGGATTCAGGTAGGTGGCCTGGCTGTCCAAGAGGATTAGCCAGGTGGATGTTGTGGTGCTTTACTTGTAGTCTGAGGATAATGCTGAGGAGCACTGCGTGGGTGGAATTCAGGAGCAGTTGGGTTTTTCCTGGGGAAGGGAGGGAGGTTGGCTCTTTTGTGCAATAAACTTGAGTGAAAAGCTGCAACTTTATAGAAGCAGCATCTCCTCGATTACGGCCTCCTGTGTGCTGCTGAGAGTCTCTTCCCGTGCAAGAGAGACCTGGAAAAAGCAGCAAAGTGCCTGTCTTTGAAACCCAGGTAGTTAATTTAGCATGAAAGGAGAGAAAATTCCTGGTGTGAGAGGCATCAGCCCCTAAAAACGTATCTTTGACACTTGTCTTTGCAGATGACGACTCGTGGGACCTCGTCACTTGCTTCTGCATGAAGCCTTTCGCTGGGCGGCCCATGATCGAGTGCAACGAGTGCCACACTTGGATCCACCTCTCCTGCGCCAAAATCCGCAAATCGAACGTCCCAGAGATCTACATCTGCCAGAAGTGCCGGGACTCCAAGTTTGACATTCGCCGTTCGAACCGCTCCCGGACGGGCTCGCGCAGGCGCTTTCTGGACTAGGGGGGTGGCACGTGCTGGTGCTCTGTGTGGGTGGGCGAGCCGTGCGTGCCGGCCGGGAGGCCGGGGAGGGCTCCCCTGAACTGCTGCTGCTCAGGCGGGAGGGCTGCCCAGCCGGCCTGTGGCCCAGGAATGAGGAATCGCCGAGCCGCGGGCAGCCGGAGCTGGGAGCGGCCGACTGGGCAGAACTGTGGCGAGAGACTCTCGAGGGACAGACGGAGCTCTCCGAGCTCAGTGGAGTTTTGTCTGGTTACGATGACTGGGTGATGTACTATACCTTTGCCAAGTAGGTTTTCTCATCCCATTGGGAAACTGCAAATCTTCTCTGTGCTAGAAAACTCCTCCTCCTCCCAAAGAGGGAGGGGAGGAGGAGGGAGTCTGTGTGAAGAGTCTGAAAAGTAAATGGCCCTGTGTTTTAAATTCAATGTGATATTATACCTGCCCATTTGTCCGTATAGATCAATCTTAGATATCCTAAGACTCCATAGGAGTCAGCCTCAGTGCTACCGGCCTCTGTGTGATCTGCTGCTGCTTCCACGGGCCTGAGCAGAGGGGAGTTCTGTCATTTGGCATTATCCAAGTGCAAACGAGACTTGGGGCTCCCTCTTGTGCCAAGGGACAGCGCCCTGGCAGGAAGGAGCAACTGTTTTCCTGGACAGGGAGTGTGGGGGATCAGTGGCATCAGATTCCTTCCTGGAAGGTCTCTTCTTACAGTGGTTTTTTCGTGATTTATTTGCATGAACAGCTCAAATGTGTGTATGGGGGGGAAACTGCTCCATTTCCTGTCCCTTCATTAACCTCTATGGTGCTGTTTTAAGAAGATGACTCTCCTTTTTCTCAGCCCAGAATTCAAACATGGGCTGTAAAAGGGGCCAAAGGAAATGCAGAATCTGGCAGGTCTGGTTTGGAATTTGATCATGTCCATCCAAGTGTGACAGCTGAGTTGATTTTTGTTTTTGCTGTTTGATTTTTGGAACTGGACTGTAACCAAAAAGCCAGAATCTTTATTCTGTTGGTAGCAACGACACAGATCAAATGCAGGCAGTGCAGCTACAGGATGAAGTGCAATGAGGATCTGTCTGGTGTGGAGTGGACAGGAGAGCATTGAGGCCCTGGCCAGCACTGCAGACAGGACCTCCTGGCTTAGCCCATGCGAGATTCCTTCAGGACCACGATGGGAAGTCACAGCTCAAAGACAAGGCCAGGGAGATGCTGGCATTGCTCCTTGAGGACCAGACAGATCCACATGGATCACACTGATGGGGTTGATGCTTCGAGGTGTTTCTCTGAAGTTATGCCTGAAGAACAGTGTGTGCTCTGTCCAGTACGAGGCTCAGAGAAGCGCTGGCTGGCACAGCAGCTGCAGCCAGACCAGCTGTGCCAGCAGGAACATGACCCCGTGAGTTCTGCAGTCACAGTGCTGGAGCACTGCCTTGTCTGAGGACTGGTTCTCCGGGAGATGCATCCTGGTGACGACTGAGGGTCTTGCTAGCACACAGGGTCAAGTGCCCTCCTTCAGACATTGGCCCCAGGGCTGCCAAAGCCTCCGGCAGCCCAGTACCACAGGACCCAGGTGTGGGGCAGGGCGACAGAGGTGCACAACATGCAACTGTTCTCTCCTGGTTCTTGAGAAAATTCTCGTTCCACCAAGCTGTAACAGCTGACTGGGTTCAGAAAACCAGCTTCTGTGAAGTCTCTCAACCATGACTGTGCTGTACTGCCTTCAGAAGCTATGTGGAACCACCAAGGAGTTTGCCAAAGACTTGCTCCCAATGGCTGCCTGACTGTCCTTTGCAGCCAGAAGAATAACCAAAGTTCTCCAGTGCTGCCATTTCCCCAGAAAGGCTTTGGAAGATCCCGGCCACAACTGCACAAGAGTTGGACCTGGTCTGAAATTCGTATCTCTTGTATTTACAGTGTGTCTGCAGTTCAACTGGACCTCTGTGGACCGTGTTCCTGAAGCTTTTATGGGAGAAATGGTGCACTGTCAAGTGAACTGGCTCTTTTTCACAGAGGTTCAACACTAATCAATGTGACTGACTCTTGTTCTGTCCCCTTTTCGGATTTATCCCAGTGGATGGTGTCCAGCACGTTACAATATCAGCAGAGAGAAATAAAAAAGTAACATCTCCATTCTTTTAGTTCATCACTTTCAGCCATGTATAATTATAGTTTAATTCAGAACTTTATTTTTTCATTAAAACTTCTAATGAACCATGTTTTTTTCTTACATGTGAGACAAATGAACAATGAGTTTGTTATATTCCAAACTCAGGAGTCTGCTGTTATGATTTATTGGTTTGTGAGCTGTTGTGCCAGGCAGCAGGAAGACTTAACACTTGAAGTGCTCTTCCCAAAACTATACACTCAGGTGGGGATAGGAAGAGCTGGCAGGTATCCCCACCTTTCTGTGGAGCAGCTGCTCCTTGCTAGCCTCTGCTGAGAGTGTGGGACATGGTGATGGAGCCCTGTGGCTGGGCAGGGTGGAGGGTTGGAAGGCAGGCACTGCCTAGAGTGGCTGCAGACAGCAGGGACACTGTGCTGGGCTTGTGCCAGGGGCCTGCTGAAGGTGCAATGACTTAGCTGGGGGACAGGGCTCAGGCCAGGATGCCGATGGTGTCAGAGTGCACAGTCCTGGCACCAGGTCCCTGCAGCCTCAGAAACAGCCCTAGGGCAGTACTGCACCCCCTTGCAAGGACTGGAGACTTGGCCACACCCAAACCAAGCCCCCGTGAACCCTCTGGGAGCTGTGTTGAAAGAGAACTCCCTCCCTCTCCACCACCAGGCAGCACCAAGGACTCCAAACCACCCAAGAGCCGCTGGAGCCTTGGTGCCACCCTGCAGCTCATGGATGTGCCACAAGCCTGCAGGCACTGCTGCTCAGCCAGCTGCCATCAAAGCAGCAGCCTGAACACCTTGGCAAACTGAAAAGGTAGCTCAACCTTTAGGAAATGGCACTAGGTCATGCTGGAAGCTAGGCTGGAAGCTCAGCTCTGCTTGCTTAGAGCTTCTATTTTAATTCTGTTGGTAATTTTGAATTATAGAGTCAAAAGAAGTCCCAGGGGAGTTGTGGCTGTAAAATGGCAGCTGCTCACAGCAAGAATATGGTGGTGAAGGCTGTGGTTCTGCAGTGGGGCTGTTAAAGTTTTGGCAAAACATGGCACTGATAGAAAACAAGGAAGAAAGGAGGAGGGGGCTGGGGAGACTAACTGAGCATCTGGCTCCCACGGATGCTCTTGTGCCATGTCCTTGTCTCTACAGGCTGGCTCCTCACTTCTGACCATGTACCTCACACAGTAACATCAAAAGGGAACGGGAGGAGATTTAGATTTCTGCCCTGTCCCACCCAGCAGAGGTCAGTAAGCTGGATGGGATGGAGAGTATTGTTAGGTATACAAGACCTGCAACCCTTGCTTTTCAGGGATTTTATCTCAGGAAACTTCCTACAGATGCAAAGGGAATGGGAGCTGCTTTTCAGCTGAATATAATTTATTGCACATTTTACATTTACTTTGAGATTGACAGAACGCTGGCTATAAGTGAAATAAAGCCCTGCACCAGGAACTGGTCACAACTGAGAAGTTTTGGTTTTAATAAAAACAAATGAACACCCCTTCATAATATGAACTTGGTTTTTTGTACAGGGAAAAGCATTTCTTTTGGAAATCTCATTCTCCTGGTGCAGTGACCTGAGCACAGAGAACCACAGCTGCACAGAACAGGGGCCAGGTCCGTGTCAGGAAAGGAGTTATGGCAGGAGTTGTCGAAAGCGACTCTGCACTGCCAAGACACGGATGTCTTCCCCTCTGCTCTCACCCATGAGCAATGAAGGCTGGTCTGGACTCAGCCAGAGCAAAATTATGATCAAGGAACAGCCACCACGATTCCTTGTCTCTCTGCAAAAGCTGTGCTGATGTACCCAGTGTGTAGCAGATTCTACAAGGTGCTGTTTCCAGCTGCTGTATCACCAGCCCAGGACTGCCCTTCTGCTGGAAATCCCTGGCAGGGCTTCTAGACAAGATAAAGCCAATGGATCTATGCCATAACTGCTGCTTTTCAGAAAGAGCAGATGAGTTACATTTTCAGCTCTTCATTCATTTGGCCTCTCCCCTCACTTTGGTATGGTTTACTTTATGAACTACATTTATTTTTGACTAGAAATAAATTAGATGTGAAGAGATAGTTGCAGCATCAGAATCAAATGAAATTAATTGCTGTCCTTCTCCCTCACTTGCTTTCCTCTTTTCTGGAAATCCTTGACAATACATGGTTGTGGGTGGCAGAAGAATTAATAAAACTATGATACACTGTGTCCTTGTCTGGAAGAGCAGCGTTGGAAATGAGCAGCTGGACAGATTGGTGCTGAAGAGGTCCATGTTACTTCAAAAGGCAAATTCATTCATACTTAAGCACATACTTTTCTTAACAAGTGCATTTCAAACACAGATTTGAGATTGAAACAATCACTGACCTCTCTCCAAAAGTATTTGCACAGGGGACTTCCAGGAGGTGGCCAGAGAACTGAAATTCCCCTCATGAGAAGGAAGAAGGTGTGTTACCCACCCCAGGAGAAGTGAGAACAACAGATCTTCATCCCTGCTGAGTGCCAGGAGAGAGGAGTGAGTGCAGGAAGGGGCCGTGGCCAGCTGGGAGCAGGGCTCAGCCCCTCGGCAGAAAGCACTGTGCACTCAGAGTCACGCTGCTTTATTGGGTACCGAGCCACAACTCAGATATTGCCTGGGAGCCGCCTGGAGCAGCAGGGTCTGTCCTTTTGTCCCTAACAGAACCAGCAGGACACTGCCTGCTGTACAGACAGTAAAAATAAAATGTCTCTGTTCAAACTCGCAGCGTCCGGGGGAGGTTTTGCGGTTTCCGTTGACCCAGGTACCGTGAGAGATGCGTGCTCCCCGGATTAGCCATCGGCATCGATCCTGTGAGCTGTCAGGAGAACAAGCAATGGACACATGCTGGAGCCCACCATTGTACCAAAAACAGGCAGGAACACTTCTGGCTGCTAATTAGACACAACTCAAACACGCCTCCAATGCACTTCTGGAAGCTCTGTCAGTTGGATGTGCTGCTCACACTGGGCAGGGAGCTGGTCTAGAGCAAACAAAGATCTGTGCCCTTGAGCAAACCCACCAGACCCACAGGAGTGCCAGTAAAAGTTGTCACAAGCAGGTACTAGTTTCACAGAGCTATTACAGCAGGGAAAATATTTTGGCAGGTAAGATAAATGGGGACAAGGAAGAAATCTGACGCAGGCCTTCATACATTAAATTTAGTCCCCAAATGGCCACGCAGTGCTGCAAACTGCACAGAAGGACACTGGCACCTGTGGGAGGCCTCTGCTTCCAGCCCCAGCTAGAGATACAGACTAGCTGGTACAAACTGCTGTAGAGCTCCTGCTGGGTTCTTTTGGGCCTTACTCCAGAGGCAAGTCATGATCAGTCCATTCCAACAACCTCAGTTCTGAACCCGAGGTCTGTGTGCTTCACCACAGAGCTGAAGTAGTCTGTAGAACCATTACTGGTTCCCCAGGGAAGATGCTGGGCAGTCTGTGCTACTTACATTGCTTTGGTATCCTGAGGGCCTCATTGTCAGCTGACATCACTTGGTGCAGAACTCCTCGGAACTGATAAAGCACTTTCAAACTCTTCTCCTCACCCACACAGGGGTCGTAGAAGCCTGGCAGCCCAGCCTTGAATCAGAGAAGGACAGACTGAGCTCAGGGAATGGACTTTCACAGCTCTCCAGTTGGCCAAAAACATTTATTACTGCCAAGGACAAGGTGTCATAAAAAAAAAAAAAAAAAAAAAGAGTTTTGCTGCCAGCAAGTTGAGACACTGGGGAATAATCTCCACAAGTTTTTGGTGCATAAAAGTAAACGAGGGGGTTGGGAAGTTCCTGGTGTACAGCCCCAAGGTCTGTAACACCCACTGTCCCTGGAAAAGCCCCAAGAAACAGAAGTTCCTTGAAGTTTGTAATACTTGGTAGGTAAATGGCATCTGTGAATTGATCCTGAAAACTGGAGAGATCCCCTGCAGGACACCACATGGCTCAAATGAAATTCTGGGCCATGCATTTGAGTCCCTGAATCTGGGCTTTGACAGAACAACTACATACCTTGGAGGCCTCTGTAAGGATGAGTTTAGAATCCTTCACCAAGCACTGCAGAGGCACAGTCACATCTATGACCTTCACCTTCTCGTTCTTCCTGCTGTTGTCGTTAACAAACTTCCCATACCAGGCATTCACTACAATCAGACCTGCATTTCCCAGGAAATCACAACTGTGATGGAAGGCTTCCACTGACAAAAAGACCATCCCAGCATTTTCTCTTGCTTTCAGTGAGATTTAATTCTCCTGGCCTGGACCCACGCTTCCCAACAAAGAACAACATTTTTACTTAGGCATTTGTTAGCAACCTTCAGCACCAGAATGGAGTGACAGGACTCAGTGTCACACTGATGTGACAGTCCAAGTGGATTTCAGTTCACTTTGGAACATTCTGTGGAAAACTGCTAGTAACCATAAGAGATCAGATTCCCATTATGATCCAGGAGCAAACCACATAAGGGAGAAATCAGTGAAAGCTGAATTTCAGACTACAACTTTTGCACCTTTTATAGACACACCTATATCTGGAGAAGAGGTAATTCCAGACTGTTGTCTTCAGTCTGTTGATCCACTTCATACCATGTCCCAAGATAATATTCTGTGATCCCTCCTAAGCTCAGGCACCTGGAGCTGAGTCATAATGGGGCTCCCCCACTACGTGCACAGCAGCAACTACAATGCACTTCATCAGGAGTGGGAATGAAGAAACAACACTTTTGCATTGTTCCTTCTTATCTCCAAATTTATAGAACAAGTAAATGATATTACAATATTTACCCATTCTGGCTTCCTCTGCTTCAATTATTCTTCGGACTGACTCCTGCATTAACCGGACCTGTCACAACACAAGTGGCAGAGCAGAAATCACACAGGGTCAGACACTGTGGCCAAAGGAGAATGGTCCAGAGGGAAAAGAGTTTCCTTTCACTAAGGGGTCTGAGTTACAAGAAAGACTCACTGCAGCTTCAGCCTCCTGCTTCTTCTGTAGGATGTCACTGGCTGTGCTCTCCCGCTGCTTCTCCAGCTCTCTGGCAGAAGGAAGGCAACATCTCATCAGGAATGCACAGCTGGGATTCAGGCAGAAACTGGCAGGGTCTCCTTACCCACCCCAATCACAACTGACCCACAGCCTCACACAAATAAACCCAAGTGAGACTTCCTCAGGAATGTGCAAGCTCACCTCTCCTTCTGTGCCCTGAGGTAGGGTTTGATGACCAGCCTGTGCATGGCAAAGTAGATAACGAGAGGTCCCACGGTGGCATAGAACACGGCGCTGGGAAGCAGCTGATCTGTTAGATGGACAGGGAAGAAGTAGGTCTGGCTGGCCCTATTCAGCCTGCAACAAAGAAGAGCAGAGGGATGGTAAGAGGAAAAGCAGAGCTGGATGTGCTTGATGAAGCACACTTAGCAGCAGTGCTTGCTGATGAACCAAGGGGAGATGAATGAGGAGCTCAAAATGTGAAAGCCTGAGAAACTGAAAAAGCCAACGGCAGAAAAGGCAGCTGACACCAGCCAGAGCCAGACTTTGAAGTAGCAGCTCGTGACAGTACCTGACCATTCTAAAGTTCTTTTTCTAATCTTAGGAGAATTTGCTTGGTCATTAATTTCAACAGAAAAAGGGACGAACATCCTCATGAAAGAAGAGAAAATGCTTCTAGAGAAGGCCTGTGCTAATGACACTGGCATGGGCCTTCAGGGCAAGTGTACATTAATATTTTTCTGATGTTTGTAACAATATTTATTTAAGAAAACATGAGTTTCCTTGGGCCTGAATTCTTTGGGCCCTTCAGCACCCCACCTGTAGCTGGCCCCAGTTCAAGTGCACCACAGCACAGGGACACTTAATGAGCTCTGTCCTTCTGTGAACTGCACCTTGTTAATGGTGCAATCACCTGAATTAGGTAATGGTAATTCCCTAATTCAAGCATTCACTTGTATAGAGCATAATATACATGGAATCCATCTCTAGTAATATTTTCAGAAATCTTCCATTCACTTACCAGAGTGCTCCAAATCTCACTGTAAGCTGTATTTCAGAATATTCTGATGCACACACACACACACAGGTGGCTCAGGCTGTGAGTCACACCAGTGGAAAGCACCCATTGCTTATGATGGGCTTACAGCTTGTATTAGAGTTGAGGGCAGCTGCACCCTCTCCCAGTGATGTATCAATACACCTGTATTGACCTGGGACTGGGACCTTCCCACCTGAATACTGGAAATAGAATCATGGAGGTTACGGTCAGCCTCTGCAATAAAGAGTTGAGATCTTGAACTGACTTGATTTTCAAGGACACTCCTTGAGGAACACCAACGCTGACAGTGGCTCCTAAAACACTGTGTCTGGAGATCTTCCTCTCTGCTCCATACTCCACAATGGTCCCAAAGAAACCCACCCTAGAATGACAGAACCAAGAACTGTTAAGACAGAGAAGACACCTGAATTTCTCTTTACTGAATCCTGTAATTCCCAAACAAGTAAAGCATAGAAATGCATCGTTTGCAGCAGATCTTGGCATCTGGAAGATTCACAGTGTATCTCCAAGGTGAGATGAGACCTCCCAGCTTGCTAAATAGTACACAAGAACTTCTGGCTTTCTTATTGGGGATGATACAGAGATATCATACACAAGTATTATAAGTTCCATATAACTGCAGAGGCACACAGAGCCAAATCTCCAAGACATTCACTTCAGCCATTACCAGATGTAAAGAGTGAAAAGCAGGCTCCCAAAGGCCACAGAAGCATTTGGTTTGTGTGGAACCTGGAGGCCTGCAGCAGCAGGAGAGGACAGAGTCCTCAGGCTGTGAGCAATGTGAATTCCCTCTTGAGCACTTACTTAAGAGAACCTTTCACTCGTGTTTGATCCTCATCCTGAAACTTATGCTGGTAACTGACCATCATGAAAGAATGGGGGATTCCCAGCTGAAACACAAGAGGCACAAATGTATCAGAACATACCCTTGATCACTGCTGCCCCCCAAATTCCTTTCTCAGCCTTGAAGCACGGAACACAAAGCAGTGCTTGCCACTCACAACCTCTGCTGTCCATGTTGTCCTGACCCTACTGTAAGCTTATCCACATCACCTATGACAATGCCAAGAGCTGTGCTCTGCCAAACATATTAGGTCTATCACAAGATATACCAATTGCTTCCTTAACCTCTAATCCCAAGGCAAAACACTGCTGGGCCAGGAAGGTGAGGCTGCTCTCTCCCACGAGGGAGGACCACTGTGCTGCCTGGGTGTCACTGTGATATTTTATGAAAAATCCCCTGGCCAGGATTTTTCTCCTGAGAAGCTGAGAAGCCTCAGAAAAGAAATGTAAACAATAATTATCTGATTGCTTTGGAATGTGGTCTGGAGATTGTTTACCAACAGGTGCATCTTTGATTGGTTCAATGTGGATTGTTTTAACTCAATGACCAATCCCAGTCCAGCTGTGTTGGACTCTCTGCTCTGTCACGGGTTTTTATTATTCATTCCTTTCCTAGCCTTCTGATGTATTATTTTCTTTATTCTTTTTAGTGTAGCATTCTTCAATATAACACAATATCATAATATAATAAATCAGCCTTCTAAGAAACACGGAGTCAGATTCATCTCTTCCCTTGTCCTCGCAAACAACTCACCAACAGCTGTGGCTCTCACCTGCATTGCCACAGTGAGGTGGCTGGTTTTGGTGTCCCTGACAATACTGGTGTTCATGGCTGACTGGATGCCCCACCTCCACTGCAGGTAGCCCATGGTGTTCTTGTCCAGGTTGCGGGCCAGGACCGTGGTGAGGCCGGGGCGGACCCCGCGGGACGAGAACTGCAGGGCACAGTTTGTGGTGATGAAACTACAAAAATGAGGAAAAATTTATTAGTGAAAAAAATACAAGCCCACAAGTGGCCTCAGAGTCTTTATTGCTCAGGAAGTTTACTGAGTGCCCAGAGAGCATCCTGCAAAAAGCGTGATGATTGAGGTTTTCAGGGAAAAGTAAAAATGAATTCAGACTGCCCTGAGCACAGCAGTGCCCAGGAGAGCAGGCTGTGCCCTGGTTTATGGTCTGTGCCCAGGCACCCAGCCTTCCCCTTCCTGCCCTGTGCAGGTAACATCCTGTCTCTGCAGAACAGCACACTGGGCTGTTGGCACAGAGCAGCCCTGCTATCTAATAATCCCTGAGCATCAGCTCTAAAACCAGTGCTAAAGTACTCTCTGGAGAACAAGAATCCTGTGCAAGCTCTGAGGAATGGCAGATGCACTAAATTTGAAAATGTAAACAGAAGGAACCTGCACAAGCTCCTGTGATGTTCTGACATGTGGCTCCAATCATAGGCCTTACCTTGTATTCTCGAGACTTCTATTCATTTGTGAACAGACATGATACTAGTGGCAAATTTGGCATTATTTTCCTAAATTATGTGACATCATCGCCTGTTTTGCTGTCAGAAACTTCCTCTCACACATGGAAGCCACAGAACAGTTCCCCATTTTTTGTTCTGTTCCCAGAGCAAACTTCTGTTGCTCTGCCTCAAGTATGATGAATCATGACAGGATCAAGTACAAATCTAAGGGTGTGGAACACAGACCTTCCTTAAAATGGAAATATGAAAAGGGAGGGCACCAATACCCAGAAAGAATGCAGGCATTTTGACAATACAAGTATGACCTTAACACTAAAGTGAAAATACCTTATTTTGTAGGACAGAAAATGAATCCAAAATTAATGTGGAAGAGAATTCAAGTCATTGAGCTCCTTATTGTGGGATATTAACCACTAGGCCATTTTGCTAATATTTACCATCTTGGTGTAAGATTACGAAATATCTTCAGCCCGAAGAGAGGTCCATGAAGGTCTCCAGCTCCAAACTCCAGCTGTTGGAATACACAGTGCCAGGGTGTTAGAAGAAAACAATAGTGACAAAGTATGGCACGAGCATCAGGTTTGTCACAGCTGTTTTACACATCTGAGTAACATTTACCCCCTCTTTCAGCACTCTCCCTTTTCTTCAGCTTTGCATCCAGAAGAAGAAAAGGTGTCTTGCTGAGTTGGAGCTCAAGAGTAAAACAAAGCCAGTTTTGTAAAGCTACAGGTGACTGCTACTGGCACCTGCTTTGGTCACTCCAGGGAACGTGGAGAAAACTCTCACAAAAATCCTTATGGAAATCAAAAGCCTCCAGTGTGTGAATGTCAAACAAGAGGAAGACTCTCACTCTCCCAAGCTGAGGAAGCAGGCTAGCAGGAGCTCGTGTGCACGAAGGAAGGCACAGGCAGCTGCCAGCTGTACCAGTGATGCCATGAGCACCTCAAACACAGCCCAGCTTGCAGGTGCAACATGGGACCTTCCAGCTGCTCAGACCAGATCTGCTGCGGGGGAGTCAAACTATTTCCCCCATAACTTCTTCCCAGGCAAGCAAAGCAGTTTTGGAAGCAAAGGCCAACTATCACACTGCCCTAAGAAGCCTGCTCACAGCACTGTGCCTTCAGAAAGACCAGAGACATCAGGTAATAATTCTGTCTGCACAGGTAAAAGTACAAATTGCACGGCCAAATGGAAAGGGGAGAAAAATAAGAAAAAAACAAGGTTTGGTATTCCCTTTGTCTCAAATTCCTTTAAGAATTAATTTTTCTACATTTTACAGAACACAGAAAATGAGAGATGAACCACAGCTAAAGTTCCCCCAAAAAGTAGAACACCAGGTAATAGATTGAATATAAAACTGTGTAACAGGTGTATTCTTACCTCTCCCCAGCCCTTGGCAGATGTCACTCGTCTCAGTGCAAGATTAATTGATCCCCCTCCATTCCCATTCTGGGTGGAAAGGTTACCAGACAGTATTGCTGTATCTGTGGAAGTCAGGGGTGCCTGAAAAAGGAATATATTGTTTCAAGTAACTCTGATCCCAGTTCACACATTTAGTGCATGCTCTGCAAGGACATAATCACCACTGCAGAGTGTAAATGGTTCTGTAGTCAAACATCAAGCATGGCAAAAAGTCAGATAATTCTTACAGTACCAGACACTTGTGACACCTGTAATGTACCACCTTGAAGTCCTGACCTTGAGCTGTAAACCATTCTCATCTCTCTAGCAGACTACATTTCTACAACTCTCTGAAAGAGGAAATGCTTCCCATCCTTTTCCTTATGCACATCCTCAGGACTGGGTGCCAGCTGCTTGATGAACACATCCCATTCAGTGAAAACTGGGCACTGACCATCTCCACTGGCAGGAGGGCAGGACCAGTGCAGCCCCCAGACCAGATGCCCAAAGGCTACAGAGCCAACCCACCATTGTGCTGGCCCCAAACTGCCTCTTCCCACCTGTGCTGGCCACTGTGTCCCCCCCAAACCCTGCTGAGAGCCAGGAGCTGTGTGTTCTGAGGTGCTGCATTCACCCTCCTCACCTCGATGGACTGGGATATGTGCATTTTGTTTATCTCAATCTGGGGAAAGCTGCTCCCAGGCACATCTTCATACTCCTCGTCATAGCGATCAAACAGGTCAGTGGCATCTATTCCCACACTGATTGTTCCCTGAGGGATGACAAGTGAAACAGGCATTTAGCATTAGCAAACATCTGGCGTACACAGAACGAGTGGCTGAACCATCCCTGTGTATGATTACATTTTTGTGCAGCTTTCCATTGTTCTGCAATTACTTTTACCGCTCTAAAATGCATTTCCTAATGCACAAAGCAAAAGTGAATGATTACAATATTTCAAAACAGCAACACAAATCATCAAACAGACTGGAGAAAAGGCAGTTTTTCAGCACAAACTCAGCTTGCAATCCCAGAAGGTAATTTTTCTATTGTGACACATTACAGAAGGAGGTAGAATACCTTTACACAGCAGGTTTCTTCTTTCCCCACAAAGGACTGTGCTCTGTCAGTATTTAAAAGTTGAAATAATATATTCTAGAAATTGATCTTCTTCAATGGAACTTGGTCAGAAAACCTCTACAGGCTTCTTCTTATGAGTTACCTAAACCAACTTAATACTGAACTGTATCATTCACATGCAATTGACCTTGTTAGTACAATATTTTGATTTATTTTTCTAATTTATATTTTGTGATCAGAAGGAAGGCTTAACAAAGACATACTTTTAGCAAGTGGTAAATATTTCATTTCTTAGACCATAGAAAAACTTATTCCTACAAAAAACTAGGCCACAGCACAATAGTCTGGCTACCTGCTGCTGTGCTCCCTCAGCCTAACTACAAGAGTGTGTTTCTTTGAAAAGAGCACAATTAGGTACTTGTCTGGGTCATATAACTTCAAGAGGCATTGGAAACCTTCCCTATGGACCCATCTGACAGGATCCCAGCTCCTATAAAACATACGGATTGCAATAAAAACCCCCCTCTGTGCACAAGCACAGACTGAACTCTGAGCAGCTTCTATATGGGAACTCAATAGCTGGGTAGCTACAAACCCCATCCACACTAAGGCCCAGCATGGCTGGAATAAATCCTATTTCAGTCTGAGGGAGGATTTTTCCCTGATTGCTCCACTCTAATCAAATGCTAGACTGTAAATAAAAGAAGAACTGCAGAGTCTGACAGGACTGAAACCTTTTCTCTGCCTGGGCTCCTAGGCTATCTATTTGCTGTGGAGATTCCCAGCCTCTTCTCAGTGTTCATTTTCTGATTACTTATGAAGCAAGAATTGGATAAATATTTTAAAACTGAAAGGTGTGGTTATTTCCAGTTGAACCCTGGAAGAGGGGCTGTGCCCCAGCTGTTTACTAACCACCCCTGGCAGCTGCTGAATTTCAGAGCAATTACATTCATTGTTCACCAACAACCAGCTTCTGCCCTTTCTGCACTTTCAGAAACCATCTGCAAAGTCACCTTCAAGTGACTGCAGACCCAGCTTCTCCAGTTTCAGCCCTCTCCTATGCCATTCTGTTCCTTGAAACAAGGCCAAAAGAAGAGGGAAGCAATGGAAAACCTCTAACCACCCTGGAAGGGCTCAGTCCTGTGCTAGCAAACACCCATGTGGAGACACTCTTGGTGTATTTGGCTTATTGGTGCCACAATGCTGCACCCTTTGGAAAGATGCACCAAGATCCACATGCATTCCTGAAAGTCATTGCACCTCCTTTCTCTAAAACACACTCAAAATACTAGGATTTCCTTTTTTACATGTATTAATTGTACAGCAAATATTCCTCCTAAGGGAAAAACACCTGAACCTCTCCATGAAAATCCACAAGATCTGTTCAGAGAAAAGCAGTGTCTCCCTGTTCCCCAGCAGAGCTCCTGCTCTTCTGCCTTTCCCTGAGGTGAGAGGTGGACCCTGGGCAGACCCTCCACCTCCTGCCAAGCAGGTGAAGTCACCCTCGGAGGTCTGTGGATCCTGGCAAGGAAACTGGTTCAGGCACAAGCACAGGAAAAGCAGCAGATGGTAAAGTTAAAAATATTCCCAGAGAACAAGAGCACCCCTATGCCTCCGGATAATGGAGGGGACTGCTGCTGCTCCAGCTCCCATCAGCCACCTGCTCCAGCCATGGAAGAGCTCTCCCCATGGAAGGGCAGCATGGAAGGAGAGAGCTGCAATGCCTGTCAGGAATCAGTGGTGCCCACACTGTGCTGCACAGAGCAGCATCTCAGCAAGGCAGGAAACAGGAGTGGCACTATGGAACCATCAGAGCTAGGATTAGCTTTTCACATCACCTTTATTTGTCAGCCTGTGAAAAGGGAACAGGCTTCACTGATGGAACTCGTAGATGTGCTAGAGGAAAATATACTTCCTCCTTACTTTTTATTTAGGGATTTACCTTCAGGAAGGTGATACCTGGAAGTTGTGCCAGGCTTTGCCTTGAGGGACCTGTGTTCCTTACATATTGACCTTCCACAGCAGGAAAATAACTGGATTTAATTTCTCCTAACAGAAAGTGGTTCTTCTTAAACCTAGTAATGAACTTTTCAACCCTTCTGCACATCTTTGAAAGTAAAAAACAAAGCTCTAAAAGCAACTAGGAGACTCAATTTCAACCCTCCAAATTGCCTACATCTGGTTATTGCTCAACATTTCTGGTTAAAATGCTTTATTTTTGTGAAACTGTTTTATAGAACCGACAAAATGTTGGAAATTTTAAAATAACTTGTGCTCGTGTATGAAATGATCACAGCTGTGCTCCCCAATTCCACGGGAACACTGCCTGGAGAGGCATTTCCATGGGCTGCCAGCCTGCAATTGCTGTAAACACCCAGATGGCTAATTTTATCCCAGGACACAGGCTGAGGCTCACAGTGCAGCTCGCAGCCACGGCGAGGCGCCCAGGGAAAATGTCACATTCCTGAAGCAGGGAGCAGCAGAGTGGGAGATAACCATGCCCTCTCTGAAAACATCTCTCTGACCCCACTCACCCGCACCTCCAGCAGGGATAGCTTGCCCTGCCTGGCTTGTGGCACACAGAAATCCCTTCCTGCCTGGAATAAAGCTGTCAACAGATACTCACACAACACTTTATGCTTGTTTACCCTTCTAGTACAAACCAGTTCTTAGTGTCTATAAACTACCCACAGCCTGGAGATCTGTACAGCCCAATTGCTTTGCTAAGAGCAGTGCAGATCCAAAGGTGCCAAGGTGAATGTCTCAAAATATTACAGCTCTGCTTAGATAGATGTTTTCCTGAAGATCCAGTCCTAAGCACCACTGCAATCCCCCATCTGTCCACTCAGAAGAATGTGATTTTACACTAATGTATGAATGCATCTAGTTAATAGTAAACGCAGCTCCTGGATAATGTTAGTCATTGCTTAAGAACCAAGATTTTTGTGATTCAACAAGCTTTGAAACTTCAGCCAGGGACCACCCTGACAAACCCCAGGTTTGCCTCACACTCATCAAGCCAAGAGCCAGCAAAGACACTGATCCATCTGAGCTATGGCCAATTGCCATAATTGCCAAGTCCATCTCTCCCTGCCATCCCAAAGGTATTCCTGAGCACCTCTGACCAGCCAGGGTTAGCTGAGGTGAGTCACTTGGGGTCAGAGTCTGCTGCTCAAACAGACTAAGATGGGAACAGCATCCAGGATCATTCTCATCCTGAGGGCACAATCACTCTTTCTAAAAACAGGCACTAACTGTGACACTGGCAGACCCCCAACCCTGTTCAGATTGACTTTGCTCACTGTGCTGCTGCCCAGCTGGCTTAGGGATGCCTCAGATTTGTTGCTGGTTTCAAGGTGCATTTGAACAGCTCCCTGCATTGTTGTGACACTGCAGCAATGCCAAAGGGAAAACCTGTCAGGTAGCTGCAGCGAGTTACATTTTATTTAATAAACTTGGAAAGAAATCATAAATATTTCAGTGTTAGGTCTATTTTCTGAAAATTGCTGAAAAAGGTATTTTGTCTCAACACGTTTTGCTAAGAAAAGAAGAACATTCAGTAAGGGATTATTCAAAGAATGAGCTGTTTGCCCTATATTATACAGAGAAACTGCATATGCAAAAGACAGAAAGTCATGCAGCAAGTGTAGACACCTGAGGGGCTCTTTCCTACAGGCCCTCACCTAGGCTCAGCTCACCCTGCACACTGGTGATAATTGCAGACCCCAGACCCACTCTTGAGACCAGGATTAAGTCTTTGCTTACCTTTGGATTAGTTCGCTGCTGCAGTCTCCTCTCTTCCCTCTCTCTCTGCAAACGCTCAAATTCTTCCCTGATTTCAGCTGCAGTTCTCTTTCGTTCCACAACCTGCTCAAAAAGAAATGAAAACCAAACAATTACCAGACAGAGGCTGCTCAGGGCATTGCAGTGCTGGGGTTCAGAGGCCTTGGGTGCAGGATGCACTAACACCCTGCCCCAGCTGCTGAAAGCCACCCTGCAACAATTTCAGTAGTCAGAGTTTGGAACAAAGCACCTGGGCCAGATCAAAGGGCAGGCATGAGAGAAAACCCCATGCCTTGAGAGAAGGGAAAATGGTTTTGTTATTTCCATTCCCTTGACAAAACCAGGGCAAAGAGCTGTCCAACCACAACTACAAGACACTGCAGTGCAGTTGTTACCCTCAGCGATCCATTAACCGCTCTACCAGCTGTGGACACAAAAATGAAAATAAGTGAATTTACCTCTGGCCTGAGGTAAATTGTTTCTGTGAGAGTTGTGTAATTTTAGGCTATGCTGGTTCACAGCTGCTCACCTGACATGGGTCAGGGAATGAGGGTTTTATACCAGTTTTGGAATGGATAGAAAGAGTATTGGATCTGGCTCTTCAAAATAAGATCAAGTCTGCCAAAAGCAGTTAAAAAAAATCTGGTTTTCAAAGTATCTGTTACATGCTGGATCTGCTCCACATTTCTAGCAACTGACTCCAAGTTTGACCTTGGTGCTGACCTGGCCCAATACCACAGGATTCTGCTTCAAGCAGCACAGTGCAATCAGCTAGGGCTGGCAGAGGCTAGCAAGGGACACAAGAGCTGGACAGGCATGAACGGACAAGTTCTGTTTCCAAACCCATAACCAAAACTAAACCAAAACAAAAACACAAAAAACCCCACCCCACCACAAAAAGCCCAGGAAGAAAAAGTAATTTCAAACTCAGAAGCTAGTTGATGCTGAAAAAAAACAAGTTTTGGATGAAAAAGATGGGACTAGATGGACAATAATGACACATTATCTCAGATAAAGATGTTGCCTGTCATGGTAATATCCTTCCAGGGAACTCTGAACGTCAGGTTTATTGTTCTCCTGTCAAGTGCAAAACCAAAGGGTTCTTTGAAAATCCATCATGGTGTTCCAGCAGGGACAGAGAGAGAGACAGAAATAACTAAGCAAGGATGCCTTCAAACCAAGAGGCATTTATTACCAGCCAGGTGTCAGTGCAGCTGACAGAAGCATGGCAGATAAAGGTGGGCTTAGTCAAGGCCACTGGCCATAACGTGCTCAATTTCTCTCACCTCCCAGCCTTCCATCTCCAGTCCTCTCCTCCCATATATGTCATAGATGGCTCTGGTCTGTGGATCACTAAGCACTGTAAATTGAAACCAAAAGAGAGGAGAGAACTCAGTTTTTGGTCTTCTCCTCCGATTTCAGACCGAAACACACATGATATCTGGAATTCAAGCACAGATCCTAGAAACATTTTGTTCTACAGCTGCACATTAACTCCTTTGATGTTTCCAGATGCTTTATTAAGAAGACATACTGACTTTTCCCCACAACAAATCAAATTTTTTTCTTCTTCTTTTCCTAAAACAAGAAAGTGGAAAGAACACAAGAGACATGCAGCCTGAGTGAATGTGAAGGGGGGTTTCTAACACTGCATTCTTTGAAGGTGACACAAGCCCTCTAACAAAGATGGAGATTATGAACAATTTGGCCAGAGCAGTCCCTGGGCCCTTCCTGGGATTGCCATCCAGCTCTATCTGGCGTTCAAAGCTCTGTGGCTCTTCCTTTGATCTTCCTCACCAGCCATGTCCACTGATCCTTTCCCACCTAGTCCCCACACATGGTACCTGCCAAGCACCAACAAAGCAATTTCCACAAGGCAGTTCACACCTTACCAAACATCAGTAAAGGATAATAGCAAAGGTGTACGTAGAATTTAACCTCCCAAAATGCCACCCAACACAATGGACAACACAAAACACAACAGGAGACTGCAGAATAGTTACTTTAGAAAAAGACTAGGCACAGAATTAGGAACAGTATCTAAAGGGTAAGGCATATTTAAATGCATAAGCTCCTAAACACATCTTTCTGTAAAAAAAGTAAATAAAAAAATCATTGCTATTTCCTCCTCCAGGGTTCTAAGACCAGCTTTATCATGATCATGTATTTCTTGAGGCTGTGGGATAACTGATGTGTCCCCAGGGAGCTGGGGGAGTATAGTAAGGCAAAAAGAGGCTTATACTGGTAATTGAGTTTTGGTCTGAACTAGTGGAATATTATTGGACTTGTTAAATGTCACAGGCAGACATTGCTTTTTATGAATTCTGATAAAATGAATCTTTTGTTGTGTGATACTAAGAGGTGGAAGAGAAGAAAGAGAAAATAGAGAGGAGGCGGAGTGGCTCATTTCCAAGATGTCAAAATTTTTGCTTGTAACATACTACACTCACATTTGGTACTAAACAAGCACCAACTTCCATGTTCATTGCAAGGCAGAGCCAAGAGCAGCCAGAATATTCAAAGGGAAGCTGCTGCCTCTAATGTAAGGCCACTCACCACACTAAAATGAAATTATTGAAGCATTAGGACTTTTTGTTCTGCACGTCATCAAGGTCAGACATTCCCTGCTCTCCCAGCAAAACCTTCCACATGTCCCAGCACCCAGCCTAGGGACAACAGGAAAGACTCCACACATGCTCAAGTTCAACTGGAAGGAACAAATGCTTATCAGTCAAAACCAGGGGTGCAAAAAATAGTCACTCATATTTGAGGTTGAATAGGGGAATATTTATTCAGCATTTTGCTTTAGTTTCTCTTTAGCTCCATTACTGGGTGCACCAGGTCTGTAACATGGATGACTCCTACCATTCTAATCCATCTGCACTCCAGGTGCAACTTGCACAAAAGGATTAAAGTAAATTTCAGTTTAATTCAGAGTATTTGGAAAGGGCTTTGGCACAAAAATAAACTAACTGCTATGAATCAGTTGTCCTCCTCTCAGTCAGAGCATATAGAAGAACTTGCTAGAAATGGAGACCAGGTGACAGGGAACACAAGCCAGGGATGCATCAGTGCAATATGAAATTATATCTCTATTGAAGCTTTTCAGCCTTTATTCTCCTATGGAAGAGGTCTTCAGAAGTAAGGGAAGTGATGAGAAGATCATTTACAACATGCAGGAGGTAAGACAGACACTCCACATCTCATTCCCTGCAGCATTCATATGGCATTTCTCTGACTTACGGTACAGAAGCAGGAAACAGCATTGGTAAGCACCAGCAAACCGAATTATTACTTTGTAGTAACAAACAGCTCCAAAAAGCACGAAGACACAGCTCCCCCAGAACCCCCCTGCAAAGCCCAGCCTCCCCCTGACCTTCATACGCTTGGTGGACAAGGTTGAAGAGGCGCTCAGCCTGGGCTTTGAGCTCGGGGTCGCGGTGCTTGTCGGGGTGGTACAGCATGCACAGCCGGCGGTACGCGGCCTTCAGCTCCTCCTGGGAGGCCTGTGGAACAGAAACCACCAACAATCTACTCAAGGACAGCCAATGCCATTTCCAAAAGGCCACTCTCAAGATCAGTCCTGAGAGGGAAGTCTGTCTGCTGTTACACTGCACTACTTTGGACCGAAATCAAGAATGCATTATTGCTTCACGACATAAGTTAATAAAATATTCAATTATCACACCAGGATTGTCCACGTTATCTATAGTGCAACAAGGGACCTCAATAGCTCATCAGTGCATACCTAGGTATAAAAAATTATGTAAAACCCCACCACTCATGTTCAGACTTTAGTTGTATTAGGCAACTACTATCCCCTCCAAATCAGAAGAGCAGGAAAAAGCAAAGTCATCTCAGATGAAAATACATAAATCCAGAGATCTACAACAAATTCTACTCATATTTCAATCTTAACCCTCAAGGGGACATTGTAACTTTCCAAAAGCACAGACTTTCCACAGCTGTAAAGGTAAGAAATGTAAACCCATGGTTCTGCTCTCATCCCAGCACCTGCCTTGTGCTCCCCATTCTGCTCCCCAGCAGTTGTGCTGTGAAGATGGAAGGTGCATCATCTGTCCAACAAAGGCACAGACAGAGAACCATGAGAACAGTGTGCCACCAAAAGCATCAAGAATGAACCTGCCTTGTCCTTTACTGAAACCACTCTGGGACCTCAGATGGCACCTGGCCTCCTTCCAAGGACATGGATGGCTCTTTCAGAATCAATAGGGAAAAACCCCTGCTCCTTCCATTATCATCTCCCAGCAATGTTATTTTTGGACTCCAGAGAGTCTTGGTAACCTCCCCTCTCTCACCTCACCCTGCTACATGCCTTGCATTGCAGTTCCTTCCTGCCCATTCCTTGGAGATTGCTTAACACCTGCTTTTCAGAAGTGCAGTTGCTAAAATCAGCCAGAACTTCCCCGAGGCAGAGCTTGAAAGAGCCCAACCATCCAGTTCCCAAACTGTCCAGGCAAGAACCAGTTCCTGGGCACAGGAAGCCATTCCAGGAGGAACATCCAGAGTAAAATAACCAAAACCTGATGGTCCAGGCTGTCCCCAGGGGCTGCCACAGTCAGGACCCAGTGCAGTCAGTGAGGGGGGCACTCAGACAGGAGTGGATTTACAGACACAAATTCCATTTACTGTTAACACCTTTCAAGAAGCAAAGCTGTCACAGGTTCCTAGCTTTCACTGGGGAAATAATTTCTTGAAGTGACATCTTTTTTACCACCTGTGGCAAGGAGGGCCAGGAATCCGTTCAGATTTGAGGACAGATCAGAATGTTTTTTCTGCACGCTGTATTGTTGTTTGTTAATGTTTTCAAATGATGCAGCAAAAGGGGAGCTGCCAAACTTGCTGGTCCCAAGACAGTAAGGACATCTACAATTAGCTTATTTCTTTTTACTATCTTGTGCTTTCTCAGATATCAAATTTAAACTCGACGAGGAAGGCAGGGGAACATATAGGCGCAAAATGGCATTTTTAAATCAAATTAATGATAAATGGTTTAATGTGCTATTGATTATATAATAGAAATGAGCAGGTTCATTTTTCATAAATGCCATGTTCAATAAAATGTTAGATTGGGCATTTCATCATCACTGAGTAGTTTGGGTCATTGGTTCAATATTCCATGAGCAACAGTCTCTTCAAAACCACTAAAGAAACCCTGACATCGTTTTCAGACTGCCAGGAAATGCAGTCACAAATAACAGCATGTAAGCTACATTTTTATTACCAAAACACTGGTCAACATTAAAAGGCCTCATTTAAGGTCTCAAACACAGCACCACGTTTTTAGCAGACTAACATGTCTAAAAGATGAATCATTCACACACACAGAGCAATTCCTGCTCACAGGATCCTCCATGGGATCCCTGCAGCTCCAAGCTCAGCTGCCACATCACTGTGCTCAGCACCCAGACATGCTGTTCACCATATCCACTAGAGGACAATACTACTAAAAATAATTAGCAAAGGGCAATTAACAAAGCACCCACTCCTCTCTGTTGGAATTACTCCTTTGCAGACCCCTTTAATTCAGTTTCCAGCTCCCCGCTGTACAAAACCTGAATGTCCTGCTCTGGAAGCCTGGCTAAGTTAACCATTAAACTTTCCCCAGCAGTCACAACCCCTGCGTGGTTCCCACCTCTCTGTTTTAACCTCTGCACGCTGCTGACGTTTTGGAGGGGAATTACGAAAGCTCCCAAGGAATGTACAAGCATGGCCGTGCCGGCTTTAAACCCGATGAGGGCTTGAAATTTTTTTTAAAAGGAGCTCAGCATCAGGGAGTTCTGCAAACAGTGTGACCACCACACGCTGTTCCTTCAGGAATGCAGCCAATTCCTACACATGAGGCACAGGAGACTGTCCCAGCAGCTCAGGGACTGACAGGAGTTCCAAAGGGAATTCTTCCAAGCTATCAGGCTGAATGGCTTCCAAGTCTGGATATCCTATTGCACGCAGCAGTGGTGGTTCTGTACGAGCCTTGTCCAGCTCAATGGCCACACCCAGGCTGATGGACTTGATGGGCTTTTTATACATATTTATGCACAAACACATATAACAGAGCTATATTGCAGCTGCACTCGCTGAAACAACCTACAGCACAGTTCCTACATCCAGATCTTTGTAGATCTACCTAATAATTACTATAAAAAAAGCAGTTATCTCCCAATAAGTTCCAAACTGTTCCGGCGTAACAAATTCTTAAAAGCGAAATCAAGGATTCTCGAGCCTCCTTTTTTTGGAGGGAAAAACGTTTTGCAAAAAAACCCCTGGCTGTTTCCAAACTGGAAACGCTCGGGAAGCTTCCACAGCCGTGCCCGAGGGACGCGGGTGCGCCCCGCGTGAGCGCAGTTGCATCGGGAGCGCCCAAACCGCCGCGATTCGGAGCAAAGCACGCATTTCACGCCTCAGCGGGCGCTCACCCGTCTCGCTCAACCGGGAGCTCCGCGGCCCGGGCCGAGCTCTCCCGCCCCGCCGCCGCCGGCAGCAGCCCGGCCCGGGCGGAGGACACGCCGCAGGGGCGGCGCTCCCGCCGGGCGCACACGAGGGCCTCGCCTCGCCTCGCCTCGCCCCGCCCGGCCCCGCGCGGCCCCGCGGCCGCACCTCACGGCGCACGTTCAGCAGCCCGTAGTAGTCCTCGTTGTCCGGCGCCTCCTCGCCCAAGGCCGCCGCCATCGTCCCGACCTCTCACCCCGCGCCGCGCGCTGCGGCGCCCCCCGGCGGCCCGGCGGTCCGACCTCCCGCGCACGCGCGCGGGCACCGCTCCCCTCCTTGCCGCTCCGCGCGTGTGCGCGTGCGTGTGCGCGGCGCGCGAGCCGGGAGGCGGCGGCGGCGGAGGCGGCGAGGGGTGAGTGAGGGAGGAGGGACTCAGGGAGAGAGCGAGAGAGGGAGGGAGGGAGTGCGGACCGGCACCCACCGGCACCGACCGGCTCTGCCGCGCTCCGCTCCGGCCACGTACCCCTCGTTCTTCGCCCCGGCACTCTGACGCGTCTTTGCCGGCGCGGTCGCTCCGTACTCCAGCGACCGCTGTGGCAGCGTCGTGGGTGCCCAGGGCCTCCGTTAGCCCCGCTCCCGGGGGATAGCGGGAGGGAGATCGCGACCGCCGGTGCCCGTCCCCGGTTCCTCTCCCGGTGCCCGTCCCGGGTTCCTCTCCCGGTGCCGGTCCCCGGTTCCTCTCCCGGTGCCCGTCCCGGGTTCCTCTGCCGGTGCCCGTCCCGGGTTCCTCTCTCGGTGCCCGTCCCGGGTTCCTCTCCCGGTGCCTGTCCCCGCTTCCTCTCCCGGTGCCCGTCTCGGTGCCGCAGGGCCCTCGGTACCTGCCTAAAGGGCAGTCGCTCACTCCGGTCATTGACGGGACCTGTAGGTACAGACGCTGCCACGAGGCCTCTCTTCCCCGTAACCGGAGGGCGATTTCCAAACCGTGCTGTCACCACCATCCACTATTCCAGTCACTATTCCGTGAGTCGCTATTCCCCGGCTCCGGCGGGGCTGGCGGAGGGCAGCGGGGAGGTCCGGCAGCCCGGTACAGCGGAGGGTCCCGGGGCAGATCTGCCCGCACGGCACCCGAAGGCGAGCCCGGCTGAGCTCGGCGATGTCAGAGCCGCGGGCACAGCGCGGCTGGCAGGGGCACACCGTGGGCAGAGCGTGTGCTCGTTTGTCACCGGTAGATCTGGAGCAGTTTCCCTTGGATCGATAGCGCTGCTTTGGCTTTTGGCGTGGAGAACACGGCCCTGGGGTTCACGCTGTGCTGCCCTCCCTGGTGGTGGGTTAACTCCCCAGGCCCGACCAGGACTGAAATGGAAGGGAAATGCCCCCAAAGTGTGCAGAGCTCAGAGATTTTGGCAAAAGGGCTGCCCAGCTGATCTGTCAAGGTGAACCTCGTTTAAAGCGTGCTGGTGGAAGACTGGATATTAATGCTGTGATAAGGCTGTCAGGAAGAAAAATACGGCCTTTCCTGCTCATGTATGGATGTTGCCCAGTGGCTGGATCTGATATGCATGTGGGGATGCTGGAATGGTTTTTGGGTACTGCTGTCTGTAAAGAGGAGTGCTTGAAAAACCACTCATTGACACCCGTGTAGCCCAGGGTGAAGCCTGAACCACATTCCCATTTCAAAACGCAGCTGGTCTGCTTTGGATTTTATCTTCACATCACTTTTATTTGAAACCAGGAACATTTTAATATTTAATAAGTTTTTTTTTTTTTTTCCCCTGATACAATTGTATTAACAAGGAAGTATTGATTATGTTATAGCAGCTCCTCTGCACTCCTGGTGAGTGAGGTGCACAAAACCTCCCTTTCTGAAAACCATGTGGAATGGGTCTGTTCTGCAGGGAAGCACCTCTAGCACTGCTTTTCCTCAATGAACCCACCTGCTAGACAGGGTTGTTTTTTTTTTTTTTTTTCCACGTGGTTTAGGAGTCATTGAGCCTGTGCAAGAATGCAAAGGAGATTAGAGTTGTGAGGATGTCAGTTGCCATGGTAACACTATTTCCCATGGATTTTGGTCCTGTCGTAATTATGCTCTTTTTCTAACTGATTTGGGAGCTCTGTGATCCTTGGGGATGATTAGTGACAGAGTTACTGGGGATCCTTCCCCTCACCAGATTGATCTGACGCTTTCCTGAAAGACCCAGCTGCTTGTTGCCAACGCTGGCTGCTGTTCCCTTGCATCACAGATGATTCAGGGGAATTTTCTGGGAACGTTCCACAGGTGTCACATCTTGGCAGGGAAATATAGGAAGAGAGAAATACGAGTTTAGGGAGCTAAATATGAACTGTGCTTTCTAAGGATGTAGAGAGAGCTCTTTAAAACCCTGCATTATAACAGAGGAAATGTAACATCAATGGCAAAAAGCAATCTGATGTGAAAAAGAAAAAGGAAGGAAAAAAAAGAAAAGTACTCATTTGTGCTTTACCGACGTGCCGAGGTTTGGCTTGGGGTGCAGTATTCCTTTTCCCACACTGGTACTTGCAGGTGGAGGCTTTGTGGTGCTGTGTGGGGCACAGTCCCTGCAGCAAGAGAAGCAGTCCCCAGGATTCAGGTCCTGGGTTTAGCTGGGCATGTGTTGTCTGACCTGTGACACCGTGGCTGCTGCTTCAGTGCTTTCTAGTAAGCTGTGAGTAGCCTCACTAGGGATGATTCACCTCTGCTGGGGTAGAGCCAGAGATACCAGAGACCTTCATCATGGAATCTCCCCTCACAAGTGGCTGGATGGAGCTGCCCTCCCTGTCCCCGAGGGTGGCAGGGGACACTGTGAGGGGCCCAGTGCAGCAGATTCCCTCAGTGACTGTGATCATGGACTCAGCGCTGGGAACCTGTCCCCTCGCCGAGTGGGTTTGGTAATGTTAACTTTAGTTCCATCGCAGCTCAATGGAGGGAAAAACTAGAAAGTGCCATAAATTCAGCCAAGCTTGTCAAAGCTGTCAAATTACCCCCTGACAAAGCTCCTGCCTGTAATGACTACAGCATCAGCTGGAGGGGATGTCTGTGATGGGGTGACAGCGCTGGGGCTCAGCACCGTTACACTTGTGATGTACTGTCATTGGGGGCTCCTGGGCACCACTCGAGGGTGATGCTCTGAGCAGAGTTAGCTTTTGAAAAAATATCTAAAAATCTAAGGGTGTAGACCAGCATCCTGCCCTCTGTTCTCAGCCAGAGTAATGCTGACTGCTAAATTCTAGTAAAGGTGTTTCTTGGCCCCATTTGTTAGTATTAGGAGTCCAGAGAGATAATGTCTTTGCACGTATAAAAGGTGCTATTGATTTCCTGTTACTGTTGTCCTGAAATGTGCACGGGATATCTATGTAGCAGTGACAATCCTCCATCACTAGCTTTATGGGAAAAGAATGCTTATTGAATCTCTTCCCATAAAATATAATCTCTTTCTCCCTTCCAGAATTTGCTGGCCCCTGTGGGAGTCCCTTACGTTATGTCTTTGAGAAAATTGATTTTTTTTTTGTCTCCGATTTTTACACTTGTGTTTAGTCTTATTTTTAATTTGGCTGATGTGATGTGAACGCTTCCCTAACATTAAACATGCTTTCTCAGTCTTGTATTGCTTCTCTTTCATATAGATTAACACTTTTAGGATGTTTTAAAGTAAAATAAAGATATTTGCCTGGCACAAGTCTCTCTTCTTGTTGTGGGAATTTTTTTAGTCTGAGCGAGTCATTGCCCTGCTCCTTCTCTCCAGACAGGGCTGAGGCACTGACAGCTTTTCAGCTGCTTACAGGTAAATTTGGGGTAAGTTTCTGGAGTGAGCACACACTGATTGATCATGGCTGAATGACACCATAGCCCAGAGGACAGCTTGCAGTGTTTTCTGCTCAAGAAGCAAGGTGGTCTTTGAACTTTAACAGTGGCAAAAATACTGTCAGATTTGTCCTTTCCTCTGTGTAGCAAATGACTGACTATGGGATTTTTCCTTTCAGGGAGGAAACGGCAACATGAATTCATAGATGATGAGTAGGATGCCAAAGCCAGAGATGACAGTGCTCTTGAAGAAATGCTGGGTAGAACAAAAAGGTAAAAGGAACAGCTAATTGAGTGCATTTCAGAGCCTGTGGGACTTTGTGGGGTACCTTTCCTCACGAGGCAAACGGCACACCCCCTCAAACCAGAGCTCAGTGTTCTGAATTCCCTCCTCCTCTGTTTTGCATGAAGTCCCAGTGCCGCCTCTCACTCCTGACCTGCTCTCTCTTTGCTCGGGTTTTCCCCAAAGTTGTATCATTATGTATCTAAAACCCACACAACTCATCCTTTCCACCCTGTCCCTGCATGTGTGCCTGGCAGGTGCTGCAGTTCTCCCTGCCCCACCAGCCTAGCAGTTACTCCACGCCTCTGCTGCCGTGGTTGTACTGAGGGCAAAACCAGAAATGAGAGCTGCACTGGACCAGTCCATTTGCAGGCAGTGTCATGCTGCAGAGGGCTGGTCAGTCAGCCATGGGCTGTCCTGCTGTGGCCATGCCCCCAGGCAGGTGCACACGGCTGCAGTGTTGGGGGTGTTCTACAATCAGGTGCCACTGACAGGGCTGAACCACTCTGTGATACTCTGATGCCTCTTACTGCATTTTGTGATAATGCTGTTGAGATGCCCAAAGGAAACACTTCTTATTGGCTCTTTCATTCTGTGGAATTCTCTCTGTAATGGAGGCGTGATAGTCTACCTGGGGACTTGGGGAGGTAAGAGGCAGATTTAGTCATACCTGCAGAGCACCACGCAGTAGAAAGGCCTTGTTATGCTCATCCAGTGGCAGCAGAAGTGGCTGAAGCAACTGCTGGGGAGCAGGAAAATCTTCATTAGTCATGTAGCTCTCCTTGGGATATTTTCATGGCTTGTTTGTGCAGGCTGACTTAAATGCCTCAAAAGTCAGAAGCAAATGTTCTCCTTGCAAGTATTCCAGGTTTGCAGTGATGATCTGCCTTTTGCCCTGCCTCTCATCTCTCTCCAGCTGCAGCTGTGTGGGACACAGGGTGTTTCTGGGGCAAACAGAGCATCTTGTCAGTACTGTCTGATGGGTTGATATATATAATGTAATTTCTGCTGGAAATGTTGTTTTCAAAACAGCAATCAGGGAGGAATTACCTGTAGTTCAGGTGTTTGTGCCATTTGGCCAACCAGAGCTCTTGGTCTGCTTGGAGCCTTCCAGCCCTGATATGACAGAGCCTGTCATGGACAGAGCTCTTTGCTCTGCCTGTGTTCAAAATATGTGCTGAATAAATGCTGATGGACTTTTTT